GCCCCAGCTGACCAGTATACACTGTAAGCACACATGTAGCTTACTCAGCTGTGTAGTCACATCCTCTTCTGAGCTGGCTCAGCCCCACTGCCTCCTGGGGCCCATCCACTGCAACCCCAAAGGGTTCTGATGGACGCCAACCTCTGCTCAACACAAATCCTCCGAAAGCGAGCCAGGGCTGACCTTAGGGTGATGCCCAAGAAGAAGCAAGCTAGCCAGGGAGGTGGTGAGCCACATCAGGGCTTTTCAGTCTAGGAGGGAGGGCTGGATGAGCAGGGAATGCACAGGGGCTGAGGCAGAACAAGAAGAATCAAAGGGACAGGTCTGCTCCCCATCGCTGCTATTATCAGAATAGCTCTTATTTATGTTTTGTATCTTGGACTCCTGCACCAGAGTTTATTAGGAGGAACGGTTCAGCTAAAAACAAATTTTAAAACCACTGAACCCGAATGATCTTTAAGGCCTTTTCGCTTCCAAGAGAGTCTACCATTGTTCCTCACATACACATACACAAAAAGAGAGACAAATTGACATAGGAAGCAGGCCTGCTGAACAACCCTGCCCTTCCTTTAGCCTCCTTTTTTTTTTTTTAAAATGTTTATTTATGTTTGAGAGAGAGAGAGAAAGAGAGCAGGGTTGGGGGGGAAGCAGAGAGAGAGAGGGGGACAGAGGATCTGAAGCAGGCTCTTTGCTGACAGCAGAGAGCCCAATGCGGAGCTCGAACTCACAAACTGTGAGATCATTACCTGAGCTGAAGTCAGACCCTTAACCTACTGAGCCACCCAGCACCCCCCATTTGGCCTCCTTCTGAGAGAAAGGCATTTGTTTCATATGTAATACCTGTTGATATAATCTCTGAAGGGATAGACTGTATCCTTAAATTTAATTATAAATGTACCTAGCAAGATAATGAAATATTAAGTTCACTGGGAACCTGCCACTCTAACCTGCTTCCCTGTTGTCAAATGGCTGAACCTCAAAGGATTCTGGTGCTCAAAGAACCCATTTTCCTTTTGTGGGGTCCAAAATAAACCACCTGTGTTCCAGGTGGGTTCATATTCATGTCCAACATAAAGGGGTCTTTTAGCAGACGAAGGTAAGAGGTATAAAATGCAAACTAGTTGAAGACAATCATTGCCAATAACACTTCACCTTCAACTCACTTGTTCCAAAGAATACTGCTCTAAAAAAATGATCTTTCACAAAATAGTCCACTGAAATAATTAACATCTGAACGGGAAGGGAAAAATTTTTTCCCATATTGATGTATTCTGTTGCTAGGAGATGGGTTTAGAACAGAATTCCTAAATTAAACTTTCTTGCAGACTGACTTTTATTGAACCTGGTTTTCTGAGGGAACACGCTGCATTTACCATGAGCGTCAGTGTGCAAAACCTGTCATTTCTGAAGCTAGAAGATAATTAACCAGGTCAGCAAGTATATAATCCAGGCATCTTACCATCATATTAAAATAAGAGTATGTTTATGAGAGGCAGCTGTGCTGTGGGGGAAAAGTGCTATATTAGGAGGGGAAAAAAAAATCTAGGATTTGTCATTTACTAGCTATGCAACCTTAGAAGATTGCTTAACATCTCTTAGCCTTGATTTTTCTCATCTGTAAATAGGGACAATATTTTTTCATAAGTTTGTTATGAAGAGTTATTAGATATTGTATGTAAAATGCCCTTTAAAATATATAATGCTATATGGATATAAAAATTATAGTTTTATAATAATTATATGTTATTGTAGAATAAGAAGCATGTCCCCTACATTTAAATATTCTTTAAGAAATCTGCTGAAATGTATCATGGAATAATATGATTAAGAAGCAGTGGGTGGCTGTTGCACCTGGGTGGCTCAGCCATCTGAGCGTCTGACTTCGGCTCAGGTCATGGTCTTGCAGTTTGTGAGTTCAAGCCCCACATTGGGCTCTCTGCTGTCAGGGCAGAGCCCACTTCAGATCCTATGTTCCCCTCCCTCTGCCCCTACCCCACGTTCACTCTTTCAAAAATAAATAAACATTAAAAAAAAAAAAAAGAAGTAGTGGATGGCTTACACCACACACAAAGATAAATTCAAAATGGATTAAGGACCTAAATGTGAGGCCTAAAACTATAAAATCCTAGCAGAAAACACAGGCAGTAATTTCTCTGACATGGACATAGCAACTTCTTACTAATATGTCTCCTGAGGCAAGGGAACAAAAGCAAAAATAAACTATTGGGACTACATCTAGATAAAAAGCTTCTGCACAGGGGCACCTGGGTGGCTCAGTTGGTTGGGCGACTGATTTCGGCTCAGGTCATGATCTCACAGTTCGTGAGTTCCAGCCCCACGTCGGGCTCTGTGCTGACAGCTCAGGACCTGGAACCTACTTCGTATTCTGTGTCTCCCCCTCTCTCTACCTCTCCCCTGCTCACACTCTGTGTCTCTCTGCCTCTCAATAATAATAAATGTTAAAAAAAAAAATTAAAAAGCTTCTGCACAGCAAAGGAAATGATCAACAAAACAAAAAGACAATCTACTGAATGAGAGAAGACATTTGCAAGTGATATATCTGATAAAGGGTTAGTATCCAAAATATGTAAAGAACTTATAAACTCAGCATCCAAAAAACAAATAATCCAATTAAAAAATAAGGCAGAAGACATGAACAGACATTTCTCCAAAGAAGATATCCAGATGGCCAACAGACATGCAAAGATGCATCACTCACCATCAGGGAAATGCAAATCAAAAAATTACAGGGAGATATCACTTCACACCTGTCAGAATGGCTAAAATCAATAACTCAAGAAACAACAGGTGTTGGCGAGGATGTAGAGAAAGGGGAGTTCTCTTGTTCTGTTGGTGGAAATGCAAACTGATACAGCTACTCTGGAAAACAGTATGGAGTTTCCTCAAAAAGTTAAAAATGGAACTACCCCACCCTAGTAATCACACTACTGAGTATTTATCCCAAAGAATACAAAAACACTCATTCAAAGAGATACATGCATTATATGTTTATAGTAGCATTATTTACAGTAGCCAAATTATAGAAGCAACCCACGAGTCCATCGACTGGTGAACGGATAAAGAAGAGGTGGTATATACACACAATGGAGTATTGTTCAGTTGTAAAAAGAACAAAATCTTGTCATTTGCAAGATGGATCTAGAGAGTATAATGCCAAGTGAAATAAGCCAGTCAGAGAAAAACAAATACCATATGGTTTCAGTCATATGTGATGTTTAAGAAACGAGTAGTGGAAAAAGAGAGACAGAGAGACAAATCAAGAAACAGACTCTTAAGTACAGAGAACAGACTGATGGTTCCCAGAGGGGAGGTGGGTAGGGAATGGGTGAAATAGGTGAACGGGGTTAAGAGTACACTTGTCATGGGGCGCCTGGGTGGCGCAGTCAGTCAAGCGTCCGACTTCAGCCAGGTCACGATCTCGCGGTCCGTGAGTTCGAGCCCCGCGTCGGGCTCTGGGCTGATGGCTTGGAGCCTGGAGCCTGTTTCCGATTCTGTGTCTCCCTCTCTCTCTGCCCCTCCCCCGTTCATGCTGTGTCTCTCTCTGTCCCAAAAATAAATAAAAATGTTAAGAGTACACTTGTCATAATGAGCACTGAGTAATGTGTAGAATTGTTGAATCACAATATTGTACACCTGTAACTAATA